ACTAACCACTTATGAGGTTTAGATTAATTATAGAATAAACCCAACTTTATTTCTCAAAATGATCAGCATCCGTTTTATGTTTGATTCTTTCTCACATAGTACTCTCTCAGTTTTCGATTTTTCTTTTATAATTTTTTGATCTTTTGTTTTTTTGGGGGGTTCCAGCTTGAAGATCTCCAGCAGCTTGTAATGAACCCAAAATCCATCCTCTCTGACATTCTTGGAATAATGTCTGCAAAGGCTAAGGCGGCCGAAAAAAGTGCTTTGCCAGTAGCAACGAGTTCCTCACAGCCAGTTTCTGCCGGAAGTACAACATCTGCAGCAGTAAGCACCACCACCGGTACAAATGGTGCTTCTGGAGTCACGCATTTAGGTGTGGTGGGTAGAGGAGTGAAGAGGGTTGTGATGAGCTCGACTATGCTGGTGGGCCCCGCAAAGAAGCCGGCCTTCGATGACCAGTCTAACAGTGGTGATGGGAGTAGTGCTTAATATGACACATTGTTTTGTTTGTGTATGGGCTTTTGGCGCTAAATCTTGGTGTACTACAGCCTATTTCTGTGAGTGGGCACTATGCTACGACTCTCGTAAGACTTGATTGGAGTAAATGCGAATATTATTAATTGTTGCTTTTGATGAGATGGACTATTTGAATGATTGTTTTTTACCTATTTGATCTGTACCTCTCTACTTCTGCCCGATTTAATTTGTGCCCAAAACTGTGTTATTTGTTTGTGCCGCCAATATTTGTACACCGGTTCCGTCTATATATTATCTTCACATAACACAATGGCTCGGAATGCAATTGGGCTTATGAAGAGGGAAGGAAAAAAAGGGAGAAGAATTTTTATTTAGGTAGTTTTATTTATTTATTTATTTGCATTTTCATTTTTTTGAAGTTATTTAATGGAATGTTTGTAGTTTGTACTTAATTTAGTTATGTCTATTGGCCCATATAAGGGGAATTAAGTTATTGGGCCACCAAATTAGTTTTAAGGAAATGAGTCCAGCCCAATTTATTCGAACGGCTTTCTATCCTTCCTGAGCAATTTCGGCGCAATGCCCTAACCTAAATAAACCCTAATAATCGAACGGCTGAAGCTTTATAAATGTCCTCTGTAATTGCTTCTTCACCGCCAAACCATTTCCTTATGTTTATGTATGTAGTTTTTATCTACGAGTTTTAGTCCTCTTTTGTTATTTCCCTCAATTTTTCAATGTGAACTTCGGATTGGGTGATGTTCTCGGTGATGTACAATTTACGATGACGAGTCCGATCGAAATCCATTCGTTTTAAAATCGTGACGACAAATCGAGGCATTTGTCTGAGAGTAACTTCGCCTCTTCTTGTTTTCTTTACCGTATTCTATAGTTCTTTTTTTTCCTTTTTCTTTCCTTTTATTATGAATATATTAGCATTAAGTAGTAATGTTATATTTTGTTAATTTTAATCGTTACTGGTGGGCACGATGAGGATCAAAGTTGTTCTGAATTATTCTTGATTGAGTTCATACAACAAACCTCCTACTCATTCTGAGTGCCCTGTTTTCAGCTTTCTTTTTCCAAAATTGTTGATTTTCAGATTTGTTTTACCAAATTTGTAGATTATGTGTCATTTTTTTTCTTTGTAAAAGATAATCTTTTTTCAGATTTCAGTCCTTGCGACCTTAAATTTGTAACATTCTGGAGTTTACAGATTTATTAATAATAATAATAATAAAAAAAAAACAAATATACAGATTAAATTGGTCTACTGTGATAATAATTTTAATTATCACACACGTATCTATATTTATTTATTGTTATTTAAAAAATGATTTTTGCTATTTAGAAAAAGAATAATAATTTTCACTCGACGGAAAATAGGTGTGAAATTAATCTAACCCGATTTGATAAAAAATCCACCGTATCACCTTCTGATTGTTGGGACTACATAATAGACACCTTGTCGTATCCCCAAAACGAAATTATTGCTTAACAATTTCTATAACAGCATATTCTTCGACTTTGGGACTACATAATGGACACCTTGTCGTATCCCCAAAACGAAATTATTGCTTAACCATTTCTATATCTTCGGCTTTGTCAAGCTTCGATAAGTAGTTCTTAAAACTCTCTTTTTTTTTTTTTTATCGTTAAATGTAAATATATATTTTAAAATTGTTTTGGACAATCGGTCTACGGTATACAAAAATGTAATGGCAACCACAAGTCGGTTCTTCATTCGCATGGGAAAGTCAACCACCTCATTGGCATGAGAAAGCCAACCACAAGTCAGTTGGTCACTCTAATGTTACAAGAACAGTGTGCAAATTTCATATGGGTCCAAACGAGCCGAAAACATAGGTGTGGTATGAGGGCTAAGGTCGCGTACTATTTGATCGTACTGATTTGATATTTTTACTACGTGTTTCTCCACAATTGCCTTATATTCCAAGAACTTGAATTATTCAGATATGTAGCAATAGATGAATATATTTGTATCTTGAGTAATCATCAATAAAAGTGATAAAATATTCAAAACCGCCTCTTGTTTAGACAAAGTATTCAAAACCGCCTCTCGTTTAGAGTGACATCGGTCCACACAAATCATGTAAGGAACATATTTATGGCGTCTAAGACTTGGTCATATAGACATTAGGATTTAGGAGGATACAAAGATTGATGACATATGGCATTTTAGACTTAGTCATAAAAACTTGAGGAACATACAAAGATTGATGGCAGATGGGCCTTTGATGCCGTTAGAAGTCAAGGCCTTCTGGACCTACGAATCCTGCCTAGAGACTTGTGAATCTTGCCTAGAAGATAAGATGACCAAGAGTCGATCTACCATTATATTGTGTTTAGATTGATCATGTCTGCAATAAATTGCAAAGATTACACGAAACCAGACTAATTGAGGAAAGGGAGGTTACCGTTTACATAGGCAACACCAGAAAGGTGACAACTGTTGCAGTGAGACATTTATCTATGCTTTGTATTAGATATGACTTCAGTTTTGAATGATTAGTTTTAGAAAAAATTTCATTTCGATTTCTAAACTTGTTATGGTTTTTCCACTTCATTTGATAATAAAGTTATTATTAAATTTAGTAAGAAATTTATTTGCTCTGGATTATTAGTTGGCAATCACACAACTAAACATGTTTCCACGACTAATAAAAGAGATTTAACTTCATTCTTGAGGAGAGAGGCTAGTTAGCCTTCCAGCGTTCCCTCTGCTTGCAACGATGACTCATGCCTTTCAGGTTATTTGCTGCCATTTGAATGGTCGGTTGCGCAATAATCACAAGCACCTGCACTATCGTTTTTTCTGCAGACTCTTTCTTCTTCTTACCCTTATTGGGCCTAGAAGAAGAAGGCCCAGCCTGCTCGGGAACCAGCACATGAGTGTTCTGACGAAACAAACCCTCCGCCGACTTGAGTTCAACAAACCGTCCGAAAGAGAGAACATCTTATTCATGTTCTAGTTCAGATGAAACTGGTCGAAACTCTTCCATAGAGACTAGAGCACTATATCTACCTGGGTTTCCCCGTCGATAAAAACCCCAAAAATCTCCAGCTCATGGATTTAGGCCATGATCCCTCACGGAAGTATCCTCACGCATGCGCGTGTTCATCAACACTCTCATAGGCTCCTGTCGGGCAGCTCGTGATTGGTGGCCGAACAAATCCTTGAGATTGAAGAGTATGTCCGAAACGAAGACCATAGACTGATGCTGATGTTGAAGTATATTTGACATAGATGTCATGATGTAACACTTCGCCATCTCATCAGTCTTCTTCCATTTCGACTCCTCTTTCTCTTGGTCCGTTGACCCCTCACCAAGCACAACCGGACAAGCCTTAGATAACACAAACTTGTACCCCTCAGCAGTAAACACAATGTCCAAGTTCCTTTTCCAGTCAATATACTTAGGTTCAGTAAGTTTTTTTTTTCTTTTTTTTTTAAGAATTGCGGACAAAGGACCGAAAAACATTTTGAAATCCTGGGATCATACAAAATAAATTTTCTTATTCAAGTCTACAAATTATTTAACAAATATTGATCCATTAAAATAATATTTTATTAAATTCACCAACACCACAAAATATTGAATCTCCCCAGGCCATGATGGTGTGGACGTCTACCGAGTATAGTGTCGAAAGAGGAGTGTTTTTATTCCATTAATTACTTATGTTGACCTTTTTGAGTTTCTCAACACATAGTTAATAGTCGCTTCACTTTTGGCCCACAAATAAAAGTGGCGAGTCCGATGGGAGACCGCAATCAAGTATGCTCTATGTGTGACCCATTATTTGGTACTAAGTCAACTAACAAAATTCTACGTCCACCGATAGAAGGTTCTTACGCTTTTGAAATAGTTTTCTACTACCATCCAGAAGGAAGTTTATCCCCTTGAACTGTGATTAAAATTTTTCCGACGGAAGGAAAATCCTAATGTCAATGCGCAAATTAAATCCCTTCACGGACAAACCGACAGAAATTAATTATACATGCACAAGAAACAACAAATTAATTTAGGTACATGCATAATTAGAGGCAATAATAAAACAAGGAAAGGAAAGAATATCCAACTATTACATCCACTAATTAGATTCATAATCCAATTTGGAAACTAAAATACTTGTCCTTGTAGAATTGTAGTTTCCTTTGGACTTGGAAGTTTCTTCTCATGTGACTCCCACTTTCCTTTCACGATCCGTCACCCACCGCCGCCGCCCTCGCCGGACTGTCCCGCCCTCATCGGAGCGTTGGACTGCCGTCGCCGAACCGCTGTCGTCGTTGGTAAAAGTTGTCTACATGGAAGAATTACTGTCGGGTCGCCGTTGCGCCAGGGCTCGTCGTCGACTCCTTGGCATTCCACAACCATCGTTTTGTTGTACCTCGACCGCTACACGCGAAGAAGTCCCTTGGGGCACCGACGCATGCGCGAATACCTTGTGCTGGTAGCCTTGGCGTTCGAGCTTCTCGCGCACGCTGCCAGTGCCACACACATTCAATGAACAGTCACAGGAGTAGGACATGCGTAGGCGTAGGCCAATCGCAGAATCGCTAGCCAGGGCTGTTGCGTATCGTGCACCGCCAGGCGCTGAGGAACGCTCAAGCCTGCGCGCACAACGTACGTGCTCGCCCGACCGCGTGCGTACCCGGCTCCTGTCATCGGTCGCACGAGGTCTTTGCGCACGCCCAGACAACGCCCACGCATGGCAACGAATTGTCGGCGGATGCACCAACGTGCTAGTAATCGCATTTATATGTAAAAAAATAAAAGAAAGGATTATGCGGATCACACTTTGACGCATTTTTTATAATGAAATAAATATAATGATTGTGCAATTCAATATTTGTATCTCTTTGGCAGTCTGTCGTAGCGTATCTGAAACGTTCTCATTTTTTTTTTTTTTATTAAGTAATAACTATGCAACAAATATGCATCTTGCCAAGTAATAATCACAGGAATTTACCAAAAATAAGATTTCAAATAAATTAAATTTTTCTTCCTCTATCGTTGTGAAAAAATAAACAAATTAATCTGTAATTAATTATATGTATAAAAATTTGCCTAATAATTGCATATATTATAAAAAAACTGAAATAAATTGTTTAAAATACTAAAATGCGATGGACTCGTGATTGATCGAACTGTTCACCCAGATCTTTGCATATTTGTCGTCTATCTGTCACATAGTTTATCGCATAGTGTTTACTCATTTGCTCAATTATCTTCGCTTTTTTGTCACATTATTTATCGCATATTTATTTAACACTTGCTCAATTAATTTCACCTATATGTCGCATATTTTACAGCACAATTATTTCGCACCTGCTCAATTATTTTTGCTCTTATGTCGAATAGTTTATGGCATATATTTTTCGCTTTTGCTCAATTGACTTCGCCTTTCTGTCGCAGTGTATCACATATTTATTTCGCATTTGTTCAATTAACTTCGCTGGCTGTCGCTAATTCATCGCATATTTATTTCACACTTTTTAAATTGACTCGCATTGTTGTTGCACAGTTTATCACATATGTATTTTGCACTATGCTCGATTATCTTTACATGTCTATCGCATAGTGTACTGCATAAATAATTCGCATTTGTCTAATAATTCTCATATGTCTGTTGCATAAGTTATCACACAAACAATTTGTAGTTGTGTAATTATCTTTGCCTATGTGTCGCATAATTTATTTCGCACTTTATCAATTATATTCGACTTTCTTTCACGTAGTATGTTGCAAAACTTTTTTCGTACTTTATCAATTATTTCACTTGGCTGTTGCGTAGTTTATTGCATATTTTTTGTTCCGCACTTTATAATTATCTTTGTTGTATGTTGCACAACTTATCGCATCAATATTTCACATTTTTTTTTTCGATAATCATCACATGTCTAGAGCATAGTTTATTGCATTTTTTTCGAACTTTATCGGTTATCATCGTATGTCTGTCGTGTAGTTTAAGGCACAATTTGTTTTGCACTTTATCAATTATCCTCGTCTGCCTGTCGCATAGTTAATCACATAAATATTTCGCACTTTATCAATTATCCCCTTCTCTGTCGCGTAGTTTATCGTATAACTTGTTTCACACTTTGTGGGGGTGAAAAAGTTAACTTATAGTTTGATGGTGTGAAAAATTTATCTCATCTTTAAAAAGGTAAAAATAGCTATTTGCTCCTTTTTAGAACTAGCACGTAGCCCGTGCGATGTACGGGACATAAGTATTAATGAGTTATTTTCATAGAACTTGTCCGTTAAGTAGCACGTGCGATTCACGGAGATATTAAATGAGTGGACCATAGGGCTTGTCCGTTCAGGCCTAAAAAATAATAGAGTTTGATCATCTATCTTTTTATATCTTTTCATCGACGTCATTTTTTTTGTCGGAACATTAAACCTGAGTCTGGTAGCGCTAGCTTGTAAATTAATTAATATATTATCTCGTTCAGATGTTTATAATAATACAAATTTGATTTTATTATATATATTTATTCATTGATATAAGAAAAATAACAATTTTACGTAATCTTGTTCCTCGTATAATACTTATATTATTTCATTATAAAATTTATTGTAGTATAATGTCATTATTATTATAAGTTATAGATGTAATCTTCTTCTTCTTTCTGTTTTATGTAATTAAAATAGTTAATGTATGTTCATATTATTTATTAATGTAATTAATTTAAATTATATAAATAAATTTAAAGTAAAACATTTTGTACAAACATTTTACAAAATATACACAAATGTTTTTGTAGAATTTAATTTTTTTTACAATAAATAACAGCTTTGAAATTCTATGCAATTATTAAAACCGATTAAATCTGCTTTATTAAAACCGATTAAATCTTTAGTTATAGGCTTGACATTAAAATCGATTTTATGAGATTATTTTAACTAAACTGATGTTATGGAATAAAATAAATCTATACTTACATTTGACTTTTCCAGCAAAGGTAAAAAAACCGGTTCTGATTTTATCCCATAACAAATCTTTAATGTCAAGCTATAAATACCAAAACATTAATGTCATTCTATTTCCAGCAAACATTAATTACTTTTGACTTTTCTTTATACTAAATCTGGTAAATGGGATACCTTTTAATATAAGTATAGATGTCATTCTATGGATGCGAAGGTCGCGGATTTAAGACTTGCATGGACCACTTATTTAGAAAGTTGCATTTTGGCTAAATTATATTTTCTGTTGCATTTTTCTTTCTTTCTCTTAACTCTATATTTAGGATTATGCACTCTTTTGACTGTATGATAATATATAACATTTCAAACAAGACAATATAATAAGATTTTGTAAGAAAAAATAGGTTTCGTACCGATTTAGTGATTCTACTTTTCGTAAGTAGAAGACTTAAGAAATTCTCAAAATCTTTTTAAGGTGAATGAAAAATTAATTCTAAGTGTTATATGTTAATTAATTGAGTTTAAATAACTCAAAGGTTGTATGGTTCACAAACATTCTGTTTTGGCAAATGTTTGGACGAACTTAACGAGCCATAATTATTCATTATGTATGCTAGAATTGTAGAAGGACTCGTTTGGTGACCATAAGGTATCTTTTGGCCACTAGATGCATCCGTTCTCGTTCGGGCACATCCCAAAAGGTGTCTTTTGACACTTAAACCTCTTGGAGGTGTTTCCTTACATCTATAAATACCCACATACTTGAAATCATTAATAACATGAAAATTAGAGAGCTATTGCATTACTTTTCAAAGATCATATACATATTGTGTTCTTTGATTTTTTCATCGAGTCTTGAGAGTTCCAACCCATAGTACTGTTCGCCGAAGTCTTGTATATTTGAAGTACCGCTATATACAAGTCGAAAGTCGTTGTATCTTGGAGGCGTTTGCTGTTTACCGTGGGTATTTTACGGGGCAATTTCGTCTTAAGGAGAACGTAACTATTACGTGCCTCGACTTTGATTTTTGTTTCGTTTTCTTCATTCTCCTTAAACCGTCTTTTTGATATTCACAAACCACAAATATCCAACAGATTTCACATTTTATCTGGACATTTAAATAGAGAAGAAGTGATGTAAATAAAACTATCTAATTAACAACATTTAGTTATTAACATACATGGAATCTCATTCTCTCAACCAGCATCAGATAGTATGAATTCCAAAAGTTACTAACATTGAACTTTACATTCAATCCCCAAATCCTGAAAAACTACTGCTTCAAATGATCTAAAAACCAGGAATTAAGCATACAATGGCACTCCTGGAGAATTTCAAAGATAGAAAACCGTGAGTTCTTTTTGTGTGGTTGATTTAATGGAAATCTCAAGGTTTTGGGGGAGAGTGGGGAGCTTGGGCTTGAGATTTGGGCAGGCTATTTTTGCTCTTGCTTCATTACTCTCAGTGTGTATGAATACTGGGTTCTACAATTACTCTGCCTTTTGGTAATTCTGAAATTTCATAATATTTTCCTCTGTTACATACATACATTTTTCTTGATTCATGATATAGTAACATAGGTTTATGATTATGATATAGTAAAATAAAAAATAGAACACTTAATATCTTTAAATCATGAACAATGGTTATTCATTATTATATATATATTGATTTGCAGCTTCTTGGTCACAATTATGGGCTTGGTGATCCCTTGGAGCTTAACCTTGGCTATGGTAGATATTTTGTCGGTTTACATCAGACCTTCATTTCAGCTGCCCGGGATGCTATCTTTCGTTGTGATTGGAGATTGGGTGCATTTACATGACTCTATACACTTAACAATTTTAAATACATAAAATTAATCGCCCGGACTTTCAATAGTCTAATTAAAGAAAATCCCTTAGATCGCTCTATGTTAAAAAAAAAATTCAATTGAAATCACATCCTCATGAAAGGTTGTAATGCACTCTTGATCAAGGTTATATATGCATCATGGTTTTGGGGTAATTTTAAAATAATTATTATTTCCTCATAGGTTGTGTCGATATTGTCGCTAGCTGCATCTTGCTCGGCCGCCAGTGTAGCAGAATTTTTGCTTGCTTCAGGCGGCTCTTTTTGCTCGGAAAACCTATGCACGAGATATCGAGTGGCGGCAGCCATGGGTTTACTGTATTGGTTCTTGTTGTTACCTTCCATTTTCATCAATCTTTGGACTCTTACTTGCATGTAGTGCATCAATATGGCCATGAGATGAGGGCATTGGTGTTTAAAATTTTTGAAGGATAGCTATATATATTCTTGTTCTTTATATTATTAAATGATGGTGGTATTTTTAATGCATAATTTTCTTTGTTATCACTCTGCATATGCATTACATGTGTTAGTACATATGCAGCCTTCTGTGCGATGCACATGGAAGCAATAAAATAAAACGATTGTATTATAAATTAAATATATAAATAACATTAATATTTGGATTCTTACTAATTTGTAATTCATATAGTAAATGTATACAAAAAATGACAATATGTTATGAATCCAAATTGTAGAATTAAAGGCAAACTAATAGTTTTCATACTTTACACGTATTTATAAAACTATAAATGTAATAATCTTTAAAAATTCATTATTTATTAGTTGATTTTGTTACTGACATTATGACTCGATATCAACATGAGTCAGAACCGAGCAGAGATATTATACATATTTATTAATACTTTAGTATGTTATTCGCAAGTTATTTAATATCATAATGGATGTTGTCATAACGAAGAATGTGCATTAAAGATAAACTATATACTCATTCTATATATTCAAACAAAAATTAAATAAAATTATACTATAATATTATATATTTTTAAACGATCTTTCGTAATTCAATTTGAGTAATCTTGTAATAATATTATAATTGAAAACAAAATCAAATTATTGATATTACATTACTAGAAATAAATAAGAATAGATTAGGTAAAAAAATAAATGAAAAAGTTGATTGAAAGGTTTTTAAAATTTTAATCAAAACCAACCACTGACCCCCAACAACCACCACCCAAAAGGGATAGAAACTCAGCCCAAGGCTCCGAACCAGAACCGGAGATAAGCCCCGAATTGTAATTTTACATCAATATTTCATTTGAGCGTGTTGAAATGCAAAGAAAATGAAGCTGAGACCATATGCAACACCCACCAAGATCGGCATCCCTTGAAACCAAAAAGGATTAATTCTCATAAGCACCATTCTAATTTATCAAAAATAAAAAATAAAAGATAGAAAAATAAGTAAGAAATAGTACCATATTTTGTGAGTAGGGTAGGACGTGTATTTGGGATTTGCAAGAGGAGAAACATAGAGCTAATTACAAGCCCACTTCCAAATTTTTCCCTTACACTTCTCTCCCTCATATTAAGTGACCAAAAGCCAGCAAATTTTGATCCCTTGACAAAATCTTCAAATGAGACCTTCATAAACAAAAAGATCCCAAGACACAGATCGAATTTGGCCGTTCTTATCATTCTCGAATTGGGATTTTTCGAAAAATTTACTGCACAAGCAATGGCATACAGAGGAATCCAAAAATACCAATCTGAAGAAAGAAGATAAGAGGGGAAAATCATATACCAAGTGATGTGCCACACAAAGAAAGTCGATAAATGGACCTTAAAAAAGTAGGTGTAAAAAAACTTAAATTACCAGAGTCGTTGAACTGGAAAAGAGCTGAAAGACCAAAAAGGGAAGCCATTAGCAGGTTACAAACTCCCATTCTCAATAGTGATTTGTTTACTGTTTGCAGCTATCAGTTTTCTAGTTTTGACAAGTCAAAATCTTCATCTGTTGCTGGTGGTTGACTTTTAACTTATCTTGAGAGTTGAGATTGCAAAACGTCATCGAGTATTTATTAAATATGCTCTCTACAAGTAGTTATTTATTTATTATTTAATTTGTATGGAGGATGCAGCTATATTTATTACGGACTTTTGTGTGAGGAGTGTACAAGTTATAAGAACTAGGCCTCATGTTTTGTCAAACTATTAACTTACATATTTGGCACTCACCAAGAGATAAATGTGCTCAGCAAGAATATGATCAACACTGTTTTTTATGAACAAAATCCATGCGCAAAAATCAAAATTCATCTTCGAATTCATTGATTTGACATTATTCCATTCTGCACAAACCATTAGTTTATACATATTCAATTATCTTTTATATCTATTAGACATTGGAAGACCCGCGCACACACATATAGAGAGATGAGATTATATGAGAAAGAGTTATAGTGAAAAAAATAATAATGAATTATAGCGGTCAGATGTGATATATTAACGCTCCAAGCGCGGTTAAAGAGTCTAATTTTAGTCAAACACGCGGTGACATTTACACATTCTTGTAAATAAGTGGACTTTTGATATGCACGGTGACGCTAAAGTGCAATCTGACATACACTAATGTGCAATGTGTCTATCAATAAGGTGCAATTTGTAGAGCAGTCATTTTTAAGGTGCATATTCCAAAGTTATATTGTGCAATGCATTGATCATTAATGTGCAATTATTAAAATTTTGACAAATTATAAATTTGACCCACGAACTAAACTGTAATATATTAAAAGTTTATAAAATTGCAATTAGTCTAAGTTTGTCTAATGCCATTTGTCTAAGTTTTTTATATGAAAAATCCGACAATCAATGCGGTGTGTAAACTAGCTATGTGAATAATATGCGAAATATTTTTTTTGGATATGCAATTCATGATATGGATCAGCGAAAAAAATGATGGATAGTCCTAAACTACGCATACTCGTTAATTATACAACGTTATAAATTTGGATATACGAGTCGTATACTATGCAAACGTTTGTCGCATAATCAACAAATATGTGACGTTCAATTTGGATATGCGATGACAGAATATTCGAAATGTTGTCTCATATGGTAAATTAATCGGTGGATTTGGATATGTGAGTCGTAAACTATGCGGATATTTGTCGCATGATATGAAATATGCGACGTTCGATTTTGATATGTAAAAAGTTCTCGCATATGGTAAATAATGCGACACTATAGATTTGGATATTTGATTCGTTGCGGAAACATGTCGCGTAATAATAAAATATGCGACGTTCGATTTGGATATGTGATAAACCGAATATACAAAACGTATCGCATATGGTAAATTATGCTGTAGATTTGGATATGCGATTACAACATATGTATAAGTACTTCGCATAATATTTAACTATTCCACCAATTTGGATATACGTTAGTATATATATATGCGACAATATTTCGCATAATTATTAATTGTGCGGTTCATTTGAATATGCAATTTTTATATCGCACATAATTTCGTAAGTTATAAGTTGAAAAAGAAGTTTTTTAATATATATTGGTACGGATGATGGCCCATTAGTTATTATCATTCGCGTGACATCATTAAATATTAATAGAATTATAAATTCTTCCAACACATTTCTTTTCTTCANAAAGAAAAAATTCAAATGAAGGCTGAAGCTATATCCAATCACACTAATCCTAAAATGTATGTTATGGCACCCTAACCATTTACAATTTATTAAGGTAAAATGGCAGAGAGCACGGGACAATAAAGCTGGAAAAGAAAAGGGAACAATTAGATGGAGAGGTGACAGTCCCCAGCACATCTTTGCATGCCTGTCCCTCAATTCCCTCTAAATCTGATTCATGACTCTTACTTTGTTTTTGTGCACTCTGTGTAGTGTGTGAGAGAGAAACAAAATACTAGAACATTGCATTTGCAACACACCGCCACAGAAGCATGATGATGCTGGGATATAAAAATAGTAAAATACATTCAGCGGCCCACAAAAATGGCGAAATTACCAAAACAACCATGTGTTTCGTACGACGGCAGTTTGAAACCACTTTTTCTCTTGATATTATTTTTGCTTTAGTTTTTACTAAAGTGAGGTCCTGTCGTCATTTATTAATTAATTAATTAATTAATTAATAAACATGCCTTAGATTCTTTTAATCATAAAAAGGGGAAAAAATCTGGTCCTCATCATTCCACTCTGTTTGAAGCTGCTTGGTAAAGTGGTTTCATTGATGCTTGACATCAAAGCTACCCTTCAATCATTTTCAGGCGCTCATAAATCAACCAAATTCTTTTTCTAAACGAGAGCCCTCTCAATCTCTCTCTCTCTCTCTCTCGTTTTTCTTGTTGTTTTTGGTTTCTTTCAGGCGGTCTCAACATAATTTCCTTAGAGCCTGGAGGTTGGTGCTTAAAAATTCTATCTCTTTCTCTCTCATCTTGAGCTTCAATTTAAAGAACTATTCGGTCTATTCGCCCATCCCCTTGTCTATTATTTTTTTTTTTCCCTTTAGAGATTGGTTCTATTCAGCTTGAAATTAGTAGTAGAATGCTATGTAAAAAGCAGTGGTTGTTTTTATACGCTTAGTTTGTGGGAAGCATGATTATTATATAGCCAAGTATCTGCATCAAGTATCAGGCTTGCTTCATTTTAGTGCAATGGGAGTTATCTTTTTGGTTGATCGATGCTAGTAAGAAGATGATGAAATCTAATAATTTCCATGGGCGAAGTGTTGGAAATTCTATAAACATTTTAGCAGAAGAGTAGGTAAAAAATTTGGTGTTGGTTCTGAATTTGGTGAATAGCACAATTTCTGGTATCAATTGGGAAAATACTCTTGCCCAATTAAATTCTTGATCCCTTATTTATTTAGTCCTTCTTGTTCATTTTTTTCTTATTCTCTAAAAAAAAAAAAAGAAGATAAAATCTGTTTTGAGGAGCTGTTGGAAGCAATCCGGACTTGCAGAAATGTCAGTTTTATTTTATTTATTTTTTCTTTTTTTGTAAAAATTTCAAATTTTGAATTCTTGTTGAGAGCATGGCTGAGATAAGGGTCCCCAGGGTAGAGCAATCCCAAACCAAAATCAAAACTGTCCCAATAGCTGTAACCCCAGAAGGATTTTGGTGTTGCCCTTCACCCACTGTATTCCAAAAGACCCTCAAAACACCACAAAACCCTCCAAACAAGTCCAAACCACCTCCTCATTCCTCCACCCAACAAATTCCAAAAAAGCAAACCCCTTCAAACGAGAAAAAACCCGTTTCAAATTCATCCAGAACAAATGCCTCTCCTGACGAGCAAAACAGTCAAAACAAAAACGACCCACAAGCTGTCAAAAGTAACCCTTCAGTGCCGTCCGAGAAGTCGCATCGGGAAAATCCCCCGAAAAAGGTGACAATCGAGTTTGGCGAGCCGGGAAGTAGTGATCTGAAGGTGATTTTGTTAGGAAAACAGGGACTGTACGTGAAATTGAGCGTCCACAGAAGGGTACTAATGGAATTTAGCAGTTTTTTCGCTAGCCGGATATCAGAACAGCAGCAGCCTGTTTTCCCTTATATCGAGATTGATAATTGTGAGGATGTCGAGATATACGTGGAGACTATTGGGTTGATGTATTGCAGAGAATTGAAGCAAAGGTTAATGAAGCAAAGCGTCTCGCGTGTATTACGAATATTAAAGGTAATTAAATTGAACATAATAATAATAAGGCCTCATGCTTTTTTCTTGTGTGTTTGCGGCAAGTATGAACTGTTTTTAGTTTGTTTGTGTTTCTAAAGACTTGGATGCTTGTATACTGTGTTTAAGTTCAATTGGGGATTAGATGAAGTTTGAACTGTTTTGGAAAATATTAATGATAAACAGGAACATGATAGTTGCAATGTTTTTGAGCTCATGGGGTGTTTCTGTTTGGAGTTCTTTGCATTTCTTTCTCAATTCCCCACCTCAAAACAAAAATCCTTCCATCAATTGAAACCTTAGGCTGCCTCGCAAAGTTTTCGAATCCAAACAAAGTATATTAGAGAAAACAATTTCAAGAAGCATTAGTATCAGATGAATTTGGATCCAAAAGATTAGGAGATCAGTTTATTCGATTTAAATTCGGCTTTTCAAGTTTGCACTCANCCTTTTGTTGTATAATCTTATCCAGTTCAATATTTTTTTTATACCAAAATCTCCATTACAGGCTGCTCAACATCTCGGTTTCTGCACATGCATCGAGTCATGCCTCGAGTACCTAGAAGCCGCCCCTTGGGTTGGGCAAGAAGAGGAAGACAATGTAGTCTCATCCGTCCTCAGCCTCGAGTCCAGGGGCATTATCGTCCAACCCGTGCTAAAACGCGTGGTAACCCCTGAACCCCCGCCACACGATACCCTCTCCCACGTACTCCACCTCGTCCTCACCAGCCGACACGAAAAGGGCCGTCGCGAGATGAAATCCACCGTCCTCAAACTCCTCAAAGAAAACGACTCCTCCGATAATAATAGTAACAACCTATCCACCGAGACCCTCTACAGTTCTTGCGAAGCCTCCCTCGACTCTCTAATCTCCTCGTTCAGACAAGCAGCCTCTGACGCGAATTTCGATGACGACGAGGTCAAAAAGTCAATTGCGCTCGAGGCAGACAACCTCGTCTGGCTGCTTGACATTTTGACGTGTCGGCGGTCGGGGGACGGGTTTGCCGCGATGTGGGCCCGGCAGGATGAGCTGGCGGGGTTGCACGGTGAGGTCGCGGGTACAATCCGGTGCCACGTCAGCGCGGTGAGCTCGAGGGTTTTTGTGGGGATCGGTCGGGGGGAGATATTTGTGGGGAAGGAGGTGCGGCGGCTCTTGTTGGTGACGTGGCTGGAGCCATTGATGGTGGACTATGGGTGGCTGCAAGGGGGTTGGTGCCGGTGGTTCGATAGGGGAGCGGTGGAGGAAGGGATTGGGAGGACGGTGCTGACGCTGCCGCTGGAGGATCAGCAGGCGGTGATGATGACGTGGCTGGGGAGGTTCCTGAGGGCAGGGGATGGAGGGTGCCCAAATCTGCAGAGGGCGTTCGAGGTTTGGTGGAGGCGGGCTTTTGGGGCGGCGGGAAGTGGACGGTCGTGATACTGTTTTCAATTTTTTATTTTTATTTTTTTGGTTGAATTGGGACTCGTAGTTATCAGCTTGACATTTTTTTAGATTTTGGTTTGAAGTGTACAAGATTGACGACTGTGTTTATCATGTATAGAAAGATTGTGTCTGGTAAACAGCGGGAGGATATTTATTGTTTGGTTAGGTTTTTTATTCGACTCTCTTTTCCTTTTCAATTATGTAACTGTGTTGGTAGTTAGGTGAAAAACTGCATAGTACCTTGGTCGTCCTCTTAATATTGGTAGGTTTAAGAGAGAAATTTTTAAATTTGTAAGTGAGGCAGTGCGTAACAAAATTACTAATTGAAAAATTATTAATCTGAGTGAAAGGCAGGAAGAGAAGTCTTTATTAAATCAGTGTTAAAGAGCTATTCCCACTCTTTTACAATATTTCTTTTTGTGTGATGATATTTGTGAAGAAACAATTAATTTCTGGTGGGAAGGATTGCACTGAACTAGATGAGCTAGTTTAGCTTGGCCTAAAGGATAAGGTGGGTTGGGTTTAAGGGATTTTAAGGACATTCAATGAAGTGTTAAACAATTGTGGAGGGTTTTGATAAATCTCAATCTCAATCTCCTAATGAATAGGGTTGTGAGGGTAGATATTTGTTATATAGAAGGATTATACTTTAGTTTTATTATTTATAAATATAAAACACTCGACTCTAATATTTTCAATTTAATTTACAAAAGAAATGATGTAAATATAAGATGATATTAAATAAATATTACTAAGAAATATTTAAAACATAAACTAATTTATTTGAAACTGATATCAAATTTGTAAATATAGGAATTATAATTGTTCTTTTGAGTTTTGATAACTATAAAAAACATATATTAAAAATATATTTTTGATCCAAATATTTTAATGATCTCATATTAAGAAAATTTTAATGTCGAAGGCAGTCGAGCACAACGCCAAGGCCCACCGGGCGGACTGATTCTGCTCATATGAATTAGAGCGACTAGAGAAACTCTCTTCAGATCTCAGCTCTTTTGCTGCACCTGCAAATCGCTTCTCTGAGTATGGATATTCTCTTTTCTCAAATTTTTCGTACATGCCCAAGATGCCGATAATCGATGCACTTTTTCCCTAATCTAAAATCTACGCATTCAAGGTGTTCGACATATGTCCCGCAAGTCCTTTTAAACATTCTTATTCATTCCCGTTGGATATTTCATCCTCTATCCTTTCAGAAAAATGTATTCCAGCAGGTTTCAACCCATAAGCACCATTTTTTTCAAGACTTTTACTCTTCAAGCACGCCAATTTCGGAGAACCGCCGCCCAAAACCCGAACAAGGTATCGTTGTACCTCCAGAGGGCAAAGCTCATAGACTCAATAAGGCATTGTCTCCACTCCAATTTACCCGAATCCTCTCTTCTCAACATCTTGAACAGTCCTTCTCTGGACTCATTTGTTGTGACCAATGCACTCCGTTCGGCCCCTTCTCCTGCCTCGGCTTTGTCCCTGGCCGAAACCCTTAAAAAGATCGAACATTTTTCTCATTCCCAAGATACCACACTTCACGCCCTGGCCAAGATTCTCGCCAAATCCGGGCAAACGGGCAGACTTGGAGCACTGATCGACGCCATAAACACCGGAAAATTCACGAACGTGCGCTATATTAGTTACATGGACCGAATGCGGTGGTACGCAGATGCAGGTGATTTGGATAGTGTCACTCGTGTTTGGGACGAGTGGAGAAGGTCATTGGACAAGCATCCTTGTACGGAGTCCTATAATATTGTAATGAAACTCTGCGTGGACAAGGGATTGGACGAAAAAGCCCTCGACGTGTTTCGCAGCATGATCGAAGAAGGGGCGCTTCCTAATTGCCGAACGTACACGGTAGTTATTCAGCATCTGATTAATTTCGAAAAACTCGATTCGGCAGCCGAAATTTTCCAGATGCTGCCTCTGATGAGAATCAGACGAACATTGAAGCAGTATTCAGTGTTGATCGAGGCTTTCACTAAAGCCGATCGGTTAACTGGTGTGAAGACCTTGCTTGACGAGATGCAGGCTGACGGGATAATGCCATGTCGTTCCATGCTGACATCATTGCAGCGAATGAGGGAAATGGGCTTTGTTGATGAGACGGAGGAGTTGATTAGCGAGATGATGCCGGACGAGAGGATAACGTGCGTACATTACTCGATTTTCAGTTCGGAAGACGATTATGAAGAGAACGAGAGTGGCGGTAGTGTTTCTGGAGTGGAAAAAAAGGGTGAAATTATTCAGCTGAAGCCATGGCTTGACCCGGCCGCCTTAGCTAGTGCATTGAACGACTGGGATTGTGAAAAGGTCTCTGCTTTAGAAGACGCAAAATTCTTTTGGACAAGCAGGCTTGTCTGCAAATTGATCCGAAACTTCAAATCGGCTGACACTGCATGGAATTTTTTCTGCTGGGTCGCCCGTCAGCCGGGGTTCGTTCACGACATCTACACGATATCAAGAATGAGTGCCAGGCTGGCACGTGAGGGGCGTGTCCAGCTAGTCGACCAGCTCTTGCGCAAAATAAAAAATGAGGGGATTAGCCTCTCTTTCAGCACAATCCGGATGATAATCGATTTTTACGGCTTTTCGAAGAAAGGCGATGCTGCTTTAGACGTTTTTCGAAACTCGAACGCAGTTTGCAGGCCACTGTCCAAAAACGGTCGGCTGATATTGTATTCGTCTCTCTTGAGAACATTGGCTAAATGCAAAATGCATGCGGAGGTCTTTGAAGTGCTTGAAGAGATGTTTTTGGTCGGGCTTTTACCCGATTTGCAGACTTTTTCAGGTTTAATGCATAATTACGCTCTTCAAGGGGATATCAAGACAGTGCAGAGGTTGCTTGGTATGGTGAGGCAGGGCGGGATGGAGCCCGATGCTTACATGTACAAGGTATTGATTTGTGCTTACTGTAAATGTGATGGGGCTTCTCTTGCTTTGAGGGTTTTTGAGGATATGAGGAATTCGGGCCTGATGCCCGATTTTAAGACTAAGGAGTTGCTTGTCAAGAGCTTGTGGAAAGAAGGGAAACTTAGAGAGGCGGCTCAGGTGGAAGAGGCGGTGAGTGAGGTGGCAGATGGTGATATTCCACTTGCTCTGCCAGGGCATTTGTATACTGTCAGCACTGGAGATCTTCTGAAAGTGTGCAAATTGTATTTCAGTAGTATTGTTGGGGAAAGTCCGAGTGAGGAAATAACGAAGTCCGAGTCGTTTGTGTAAGTACTCAGAGAAAAAGAGAAATAAGTATCTTATATCTTATTGTTGGCAGCTTAGAGGTGATAGGGACCATAGGTAGTGTTTTTAAGGGCAGATGCTGTGAAGGGGAACAACAACTGGGATTTTATTTTTGCAATAAGCCTTCCTGTGTTGAGCAGTGATAAAATTACTTTAATCTTGTTTGGGTTTTTCTCCTTTGAGCTTCACATAAATGGTAAAGGTGAACACAAAAGCTTGGAGTTCTGATTTCATTATCAAGTGTTGTTATGTTCTTTTTGATTGTTTTTTCATGCTGGGATGCATTTTTCTGCCATTATAATAACTACTGGATCGAAATTGTTCTTCACTAGAAATCTGATCGGATATTGTAGCTTCCAAAGGTGAAATTTGATATGGCCACAAAAATAGCCAGGTTCGGCCGTGGCTTGGTCCGGTTTCGACGGTGTTGATTAAATTAGCTCGAGGATTTGACTATGATCTCTAAAAGAAAGAATGATGCGAATCAATTTCTTCATATAAACAATTTTACTTGCAAAGAGACTGATATATAAATGTTTTCTCTACCACTAGTCAGGTAACAAGTTACATTGGCCCATTCAGCTACATCATCAAACTCGTCATGAATGTTCTTTTTGAATCCTCCACCCTTCAATATCCATGAAGAAGCCATAAGATCATATTAGAGATTATAATTGATAGATTTGAAAGAAATGGTAGCACAACAGAAAAATAAAATACATCTACAACTAGTCAGGAACTCGTGTATTGGCTCCACATGAACAAATCATCATCATCACCACCATCGGACTTCGAAGGGCTTTGGGCTTCAACTTTGTCATTTGCCACATCGCTATTCTCTTCTTCCTGAGTTTGCTCCTTGCCGTTTGGTTCTTCATCCTTCACGATGCATTAAAAAAGCATAAACAAATATAATAAAACAAAAGTATTATATTATTTGTAACAAAAAAGTGATGTGCCTTGAGACACAAATTTGGTGGAGCAGAAAATGGCATACATCGGCATTAGTGGTCCCATCATCTGCCCCTTCATTGCCAGTAAGATCTATCGGGTCATCCTTATCACCATTCTGTTTTTCCTCAGCCGCAATTTGCTTTAGGCGCTTTATTACTTCCTCGAAATGGGAATAATCTGCAGAAGAATGTGCCAAAAATTCAAAAAGGCTACAAAGGTGTCTCTTCCTATATGTATTTTTCAAAATCAAATCCACCCATTCACAATTGTTTCTCATTTACAAGTTGCAGCCTTGACACAGGGGTATATATGTCCTAATATGAACTTCAAGGAGATGTTTTGGGATTATATGCAATAGAGATAACTGGTGGACTTCTTTAAAACTAGGCTACAGAAAAAGGGGTATTTTATGTAATATGATAGAAATTGCTCGAGTAAACCTTTAGTACGGTTGGTCAAAGCATCACGAAGCCTCATTGGATGCTGACGTTCCTCCTTTTTGTACTTCAGCTTTACTTGTCGCCGAGTTCGGCCAGGAAAAAGTTGCTCTATCATAGAAAGGTCTGTCCCGAACTGCCTCACAGCCTATCAAATAGGTAGAAAAAGGTATGAGCCTTTGTCCACTTGCTGGTTTTAACCACGAATCAATACTTGATAGATTAGAGGATCCGAAAATATTTTCACAAGAAATGTTATTCGCTTAGCAACATAAAGTTGACGCGATGAACTAACCTACTATAAAAATGCCAATCAACATCTGCAGTCTAATAATCATGTAATGTAATGTCTGACTGTTTACTGTAATTGTCTGGCAAATAATTTATTTCTTCAAATCAATAGCTAAATTTCTCCTAGCTAGTTATTAAAGTCCCCAAACTCCTTTATAGGGTCCTCCGGTAGAAAATGTTAGTCTGATCAAATCCTCTATGAGGTTTTCAAAGATAATCTTCAAACTTGTGTAGTTAGCTAAACCTCATAAGCAGATTTCATAACTAACTCTGAGAATATATACGTATATATGCCATGGTGGCGTACCTCGTAGAACAACTCTGTGTCCTGTTTTGACCATCTTGTGCTTGGTGTTTTGTCCATGTAGGTCTGGTAATTGAAGAACTCGGTGGTATCTTCAGCTATAGGACTTCCTTGTTCAACATTATATTCTCCATCTTGCTTAGAAATAAACGTCCCTTCGTCATTACAAGAGCCCGAAGAATTACCATTACTGCATAGCGAAACAACCAAACCATGTATCATTGTTCACCAAACAGTAAGGTAAAAGGTCTTATATACTGTTACAGATGTACAACATAAATACTGGAAAACACATTTTACAAGTTAGAAAGAGGAGATAAATGCAATTTGCAAGCATGCTAAAATATAAAAGTATTTTGATATGTTAAACAGAGACAAATATAGTTCAGCAGCATGATACTGAACATGTTGGTATAAACAATATTATACGCACTTCTAGCTTCAAGACAAATAAATTATTCCAGTAGAAATATTGCACCTGGTCCGACATATCGTTCATCTTAATGAGTCTCCAGTCTAAGAGATTAAAAGAAAACTAAAACCCATTTGCTTATTAACAAGAAGAATAAAAACCCATGCCACTAAAATTTCCTTTCAGATTCAAATGATAACACTTATCCAAAACTAGAATGGATATTTTTCTCAAATACAACAACAACAACATACCCAGTATATTCCCAAAACGTTGGGGTCTGGGGGGTTAGTTGTACGCAGACCTTACCCTTGTAATTATACTAGGAGGTTGTTTCCGTAGCGACCCAAGGTGCATTGCGCCGTTTGATATATTTTTTTTTTTTCTAGAAACTTCACTAATAGAAGAAGCACTAGAATTAATTGAGCCATTTTGATCTAGTCCATTATTAGCACTATGCCAGGATATTTTTCTCAAATAATGACCATTAATTTGCCTAGGACCACATTTACTGTCCCCAGTCCTGGCAAAACAACAGAATCAAATTACAGATCATTAACATAATTCTGTTTCCTATTAGCAGCTTCTTCAGAAATTCAAATCAATAATGTAATTTGAAGAAGTATGGACAGAAGAACTGACATTGAAAAATATGTCCTCACAAAGATATACCCAAATCCGAATTCATATACCCAAATACCTTTGTTTGGTGCCTGGTGCTCCTGCCTCTGCTTCATTTTTTTTCTGCACAATGTAAATAATGTCAGAATTTTAAATATCAACGCATCCACCAACAACCAGTGTGAAAAATATTGTTGATGTTACACTGTATACAACTGACCGTACAATCATCACTAATAGTGAGCTACAGAATATGGCATATATACCAAAGTCTAGTGCACAATCTACTTACCATCTGTTTCTCCTGATGCTCAGCACGTGCAATTAAATCTCTTAAAGGCACCTTCTGATAGTCAATCTCATCTTCAGGAGTTTCAAGCAAAACCTTGTCCACCACTATCATTGCATAAGTATCTCATCAGTAAATTAACTTGTGGAGCAGATTAAACTGCAGCTTGCAGATGTAAAAAGTTGCAAAATACCTCGCTTCCGCCGAGTAGAATGAGAAAACTTTTTAGGCTTTGCACCCGCATCTTGATCTGATGCCTCCTTGGCCTTTTTCCGTTTTCTGGCAGGTTTTTCTTTCTCATCATAGGTTTTTCCAGACTCTGACTTTGATTTTTTCGTTTTTAATTCACTTTCTGCTTGAACTTCCTCCTCATTGTTGTTTTCCTCCTCTGTAGGAGAACTGACAGGACATTCTTCAGATAACTCCACACTATGGAGGCCTTCATCCTCATCCACTAATTCACAAAAGTTTATTTTGTTTTTTCTTGGACGTAATGATCTACCAGACCCATTATCATGACTATTACGGGAAGTCTCTGGCTGCTGTGAAGAAGGATCTTGTGCAATATGAGCACCACTACTTTGTGTCTTTGCTCGGCGAGAAGCCTAGTAAATTATAAATATAAGTCCAAATAATTTTCAGAAAAGTATGAAAACATTAGTCGCACATAAAATATATTAAATGTAAACAAAATCACTTTGTATATATGCAATAAATAGCTTACAAGTTTTGCAGGAATCTCAGTCACACCATCCGAATGGATTCCCGAATCCAAATTAACTGTCTCCATAAGATTCATAGACTCTTCATTTGAAGGAAGCTCAGAAGCAGGCTCACACGGTGAGGAACTCGTGAAATCAAGTGATGAGAAATCAAGAACATCATCCTGTTGAAATGTGGCAGTTGAATCCTTATCTGCATAATCAATTTCAGGTGGGATAGATGGAGAGCCCCCTTTCTTGTCTCCTGAACAACAATATCTTAATGCCTGCAGTGAAAATAAAGATCATGAAGCAGGAAATATCAAAACTTACCTGATTGAGTTGCTAACTCCGTCACATTCAGCGAGCCAGTCGGACCAACTTCCTGCAATGGACCAACTTAGACCTTATATTCAACTGGATAGCAATAGTTTTCGGTAATAAACCACACACAATAACTATTGGTCTTTACCTCTCTATCCAACTCTCTAGTGTGTAATGGATCACGTATATCACTACTTGGACCAATAGGCTCACCAGTAGTAAACGAATTAATGCATTGTGACGTGCTAGGATGTATGGGAACACTATCCCCCTTACACGAAATAGTTGAACCCTCAACAGAAGAATGAGGGTTGGCATCAGTAAAAGCAGCCGCCTCTAAACAAGAGAGAGTAAATTCAGTGATATAGTTTGAAGCGTGAGGAAGGGGGAAAAGTTATATAAACAAAATAGGTTAAATAAAAATAAGACCTTATTTACTCACCCTCATCAATAGAAGTTGGAGAAAGAAAATCACCAAGAGCATCCAACCCAATAAATACATCAGCATTCTGGAAACAAAATAGAAATATACACATCAGCAAAGTAAGAGGAAAAATTAAGAAATTGAATCAAGGTACTCACCACTCCAGTCGACTTTTCCATGGAAGCATGCCAGCCTCCATTGTCGTGATGGGCAACATCTGACCCTGAAACCACTAAGAGGAACCAACAATTACTTACTATCCAATTCGCCCTATAATTATAATAGTCGTTAAGTAATGGTAAGAGTAAAAATAATAGTAAAGCAGAATATTAGTAATAGGGACTGCAAAAAAATACTATCTAGTGATAGATGGTTAAATAGATCCTCTCTTAACCTAGAAAATACTAACAAGGTTCTGATGGCTTTGCAGTCACAACAGGCTCAGTAAATTTATTTTGTGTAGAATCAAGGTTTTGAACTGCTTGTGAAGTATGAACTGAAGTTGAAGCAGATCCCTTTTTAGTTGCCCGGAACTTTGCCTTTGGCTGGAACTTTCCTACTGCCTTGGCTGCAAAAGCTTAAGTGGTTGAGTAAAATACTACAATTCAACTTCCAAAGCCAGCCACATCACAAAGCAGCACAATAAGATTTTTTTACCCGCCTGCGTTCCTATTTCATCAGCAAAAATATCATCCAATGGATCAAAATCAGTACTCATGGTGTATCCTGCATCAAAACAAGTTTAGTTATATAGAAAAATCAACATCAGAAACACACCCAAAAAAAAAATAATAATAAAAAATAAAAAATAAAAAATCTTTCACACGAAAGTAAATGTAAATAATTGCTCGATAACTTTGAAAAGCCAAAAAACTTGACCAGCCTGAATTTGAAACAAAAGAGAATTCCAATTATGCAACTAATTACTGCGGTAGTGACGAAGTAGTTTAATATTGCAAAGCCAATGCGAAGTGAAAGCGCATCGCCACTGCCTGAGGCGGCCAAATGCCGAGCCAGCTCCTTACTCTAGCCCAGGGCTGGTATCGGTTACGTAACCGAACCGATAACATAAAACCGAAACCGAACCGATAGGTTTCGGTTTCACTAATATTCAAACCGAAACCGAAACCGAATCGATAAGAGGTCGGCAACCGATTTTTCGGTTACCGATAAGGCGGTTCGGTTTCGGTTTAAACCGATGAGAACCGAAAAAAACCGAAATTACTGTTTATTGGCAGAGGGAAAGAAAANCAGGCTTAAGGCTTAACAAATAACAAATAAGTGAATAACAATACAAGCTTAACAGGATAACAAAATCCAAGTATCCAACTTCCAAATTCAATCACAAGTTTAACAGGCTTAACAGGATAACAAATTACAAATGTGAATACCAATCAGCTAAATAACGATGGAAAACTAAAACATATAAGTCCTTAGATGCATGTAATTCCACTGCTTTAGTTCATATGAGAAAAAGAAAAGGGAGATAATTTAACTATATAAGCATACAAGGATGCAATTCCCTGGGGCCTTGGTATTTCTAAATTTCAGAAATATTACACTGTCAAACAACCAAACCTACCACTAACAATCACATAATTCTTCAACATAAAATTTGCCCGTATGAATCAAAATTCAAGCATAACCATTAATAAATTGCCTCACATCATATCTTCTACACACAAAAAGAACTAATTCCACTAAACAAAACATTAATGAGAAAAATCAGTTTGAAGCATAAATAAAATACATACCAGCCTTATCGCAACTCCGAGTGAGAGAAGCGACTCCGACGAGTGACAGAAGAGACAAAGGTGAAGGAAGGAGGCAGAAGTGAGATGAACGGTGAACTCGCGTTGAGGCAAAGGCTCAATCAATTCTGATTTATTCGCCTGAAGTGAAGGAGAACGGAAAAGAGAGGAAGGTGATCTGATTTTTCTGATTTAATTCGCAGCCCTAAATTCAATCTGTCAAGTAATTTAATTAAGACATTTTATTAGCTTAATTTATTATTTTTTAACTAATATAACTTTTATTAATGCCTAATAAATTAATAATCTATCTAGTATCTAAAATCTATTTTTTTAATATATTAAAACCGAATCCTAATGGGTTCGGAACCGATACCGAACTGATAAGTATTCGGTAACTGATTATCGGTTACCGTTACACAAGAGTTGGTTCGGTTCGGTTTATTTTCTCGTAGGTTCGTTTCAGTTCGGTTTTCAATTTTCGGTCAAATAATATCAGTCCTACACTAGCCAAAGGCTCGCCTTTCGGAGAAAAAGAAAATGGGAGTTACAGTTACAATGAGGGAAAATACCGAATTTCACAACTTAGATCAGAACATTAGATGGGCAACTAGCCGATACATCCTCTTTCCGACCTCCTCTGACCGCACCCCGTACTGCGGTGCCTTCCTTTCTTTTATCGGTTCTCTCTTTCGGCTTTTTTTTTCTGCTTCTTTCTCCTTTCCTCCAAGTCTAGCCCAAAAAACAAAAACATCATTTTTAACTCAATCAATTTTTTTTAACTTAATTTTAACCCAATTCAATTAACCTCAATATTATCAATAAAATTAAATAATATATATGTATTTATTTATGTATAACATTAACTAGTACAATACCCCATGTATTACACGGGTGCTTGTTAAAAAAGTTATTCTTAAAATTTAAAATTAATGAGAAAAAGTGTTTTATAATTTAAATAATTTTCACAAAAGAAATATATTACTATATATTTTAGAATGACACATATTACGACTTACCGGTGTTATATCATAATAATTTTTCTAACTTATGTACTATATAACTACTTTAAACAAAAATACATTAATTGAAAAATAATTTTATTTTTCTAATTAATATTAATAAATAATTTAATTATTATTATAAAGATAAATATAATTTATTTATTTTATACATAATGCAAAACTTATCAAGAGATGATTAATTTGATATATTATATATGTAAAACTAATATAAATAGAAAATTATTAATTTCTAAGATACATTTACAATTCAATGGTAATAATATGAAATTATATTAAAATGCAATTAATACATCTAAAATGACCATAAATAATCAAACCTAATTATTTTTTAATTGAAATTAAATTAAAATCTATCCAAGCCAAATAATGAAGCATGGAATTTCTCTACAAAGGATTCCGAAATATGCTAGTCTGCCACTTAGGTTCAGCACATTTGAGAAGAATTATATATGATGGGATTTTAATTATTACATTATTTTCACATCCATCCACCATATTAAATTTATCTCAATTTTTTTTAAAATAAAATAAATTTTCTACTTTCCATCTTACTTTTTGAATGAAACAAAAGTTTTCAAAAAAAAAAAAAAGTATGGCTTGGGTGAGATTAGAATTTTAATTTTAACTATTACATTAATTTCACATCCATCCACCATATTTAGACATGTCAAAACGGGCCGGCGGGGCGGGCTGGACCGCAGCCCGCCAAAACCCGCCATTTGGCGCAGGCGGGGCGGGCCTTTGAAAGGGCAGACGACCCACCCCGCCGAGGGCCGCGGGCTAGGTGGGCCAACCCGCTGGAATATATATATATATAAAGCTGGGAGGCTGCCTGGGAGCAAACATAATCTTCAAAATATATAATATACACATAAACCCTGGGAGCAAACATGAAATATCAAAGCTTGGTAATATGGAACAAGCAAACTGGATCTGGGAGTAAATAAAAAAAATTGGGCACTTGTGGCACTTCATTAAGGTTCAATATATCAGTTCAATAAATCAAAATTCACACTTCATTCAGGTTCAGTCAAATTTATTTTTCAGAATTCACAGTTCAACAAACCAAATTAATCAAAAAATCCGTTCAATAAATCAGCAATCCGACTTCATTTTCAGAAATCAGGTTCAACCATCATTACCACTGGAATGAAAGTTGCCTTGTCATTGCCTCTCGCCGGTCGTCGGTCGCCGCTCCAAGGTCTCTCCGCTCGCCGCTCCTGGCGCTCGCCGTCGCCGCACACCGGTCGATTTTGAAAGGACTGAGTACAGAGGTTGAGAGAATGAGAGTTGAGAGATTAGGGCTAGGAATTAGGAGGAATTCTCACTGCCCGTTATGTCTGTTTTGGTTTTATAAAAATTAAAAATGCAGGAAAAGCGTGAAAGAAGTAGGGAAAAGCCGAAAAGGTCTTGTTATTTTTTTCGATAATCGTGTATTCGTGTTATTATTAGGTAAAATAAAAATTATTGAAAAAAAAGAAATTGAGGGCTGGCGCCCGGCCCGTTTGGCCCGCCCTTTTAAAACCCGAGGCCCGCGCAGGCTAGTGCATTTAGGCCCGCTCTTTGGCGGGCCTTTAAATTGCAGCCCAACCCATTTATTTGGCGGGGTAGGGTAGGACGGCCCGCGGACTTAAGCCCATTTTAACAAGCCTAACCATATTATAACTTTGGTGAGATTAGAATTTTACAAATTGTGAAGGACTAAATCTGAATTTTACTAATTGTGAAGTACTACAAATTTGGAGACGCCAGCCAGCAGAAAAGCGGCAGACTTCCGAGCTGTATAGAAAAGACTGCAGCAGCCCATTTTCTTTTGTGGTTGATCTCTTCAAAGAATGGTGATAGTTTGAAATCCCAGGTAAAGTGAAAATGAAACCTTGAAGCCAATTTCTTAAAATCCTGTTTTTGTCTATAACGTCGTACATTTTCAAACCCTTAATTTCACTTGCTTTTCTTTTTCTTTTTTCTGCTTTTTCATTCTAATAACTGTGATTATTTTTTATTTTTTATTTTTTATTTTTTCATGCTGGCGGAAAAACGAAGTAGAAAGAAAAAAAATCTTGCTTCCCATACATTGCTGAATTTTTGTGTTTTGTTTAGTTTGTTGGTAGGTGATTATTTTTATAGACATCACATGACGATGCATTTCATTTTTCTTTCACTTTTGTTTTAGTTTGTTGGTAGGTGATTCTTTTTATAGACATGACGATGCATTTCATTTTTTTTTTTTAAATTTTTGTTTTAGTAAGCGATTCTTTTTAGAGACATGACGATGCATTTTATTTTTCTTTCACTTTGAAAGTTCAAGAAAAGTAGGAAAATAAGCATGACTCAACCATCAGTGGTTTTGGCGACTGGAAGCTATGATCACACCATTCGGTTCTGGGAAGCAAAGAGCGGCCGCTGCTATCGGACTATCCACTACCCTGAATCTGTATGCCTCAAAATCTATCAGCTTTATATGTGTCTATATGTATATGTTTGTTTGTGTGTGTGGTTTTTTCAAATTGAGTGATCGAAAATCTGAAATGTGAGTGTAGTTGGTACTATCGTGATTTGAAATTCTGACAGTGTAAGCAGAACGTTTAAATCTTTTATGGATCCAATCATCTTAATATGTATCTATCAACTTTATATGTGTCTATGTGTATATGTTTGTGTGTGTGTGGTTTTCTCTCATTGAGTGATCTGAAATGTGAGTGTAGCTGGTACTAGCATGATTTGAAATTCTGATAGTGTAAGGAGAAAGGTAAAATCTTTTATTGATCCAATCATCTTAACATGAGTTTTACCTTAAAATGCACTGATCTTTTTATGCAAAATGCTCATGGAGTCGTTAACCCCACACATCTACGAAGTATTATGCACCTTGTGCTATTTTTAGGGGAGACTTTTATTTGTTTTTTTTTTTTTATTATGGACAGCAAGTAAACCGACTCGAACTTACCCCAGACAAGCGTTACCTAGCTGCAGCTGGAAATCCTCACATTCGGCTTTTTGATGTCAATTCAAACAACCCCCAGCCAGTATGCTCCCCTTCTTTTTTTTTTTTCCTTTGTTAACTCTATTGTCCCTCCTTTAAGAAAGCTGTAGACTTTGTTAGGCTCACTTTAAACTAATAAGTGATCGGCCTAGTCTTTTCTCTTGTGACAGGTGATGAGCTATGATTCACACACCAATAATGTAATGGCTGTTGGATTTCAATGTGATGGGAATTGGATGTATTCCGGTTCCGAAGACGGTACTGTAAAGATTTGGGATCTGAGGTACACAAAGTTATAGGACGCCAAGAATACTTACCATTTTTGTGTGTCCATATATGTGTGTCTGTTTAGGCTGGCATGGTGTGTTGTTATTTACTTTCATTCTAACTTGTACAGGGCACCGGGTTGCCAGAGGGAATATGAAAGTCGTGCAGCAGTCAACACTGTTGTTTTGCATTCAAATCAGGTTGAATGAGCTCGTGTTCTCTTCTAACATGATATGTGTGGTTGAAAAATCAACTGTTTAGGGTGCCATTAAGTGGAAATTTGGTGGAAACAATTCTCTCTCTTTTT